TGCAAATGGAAACATGCCAGAGATCTGAGAATGCAAGCGACATGACAATTTGACATGACAACTCCCAAAGCACGTTTTGTCAGAGTAAGTTTTAGGAATGCACTTTCTCTCATCTGCCAGATCAAAACATAATACATCAGAGATGAGAGCCTTCTGGGGCAAGCAGAATGGGAAATCCTAGCAAATGGGTCTGCTAAGTAAATAAAAAGGCAGGGGGAGAGGGGCGTTAAGCAATCAATCACTTGAGTTGGGTTTGCAAGATGCAGATGCAGGAACAAACTGCAGCTGTTGAGAGAAACAGTAGGTTTTGGGTTGGTTTGGTTTTTTTTGGTTTTTTTTGTTTTTTTTCCAGCAGGTCTGATTCAAGCAGAAAAGGCCCATCCAGAAACTCTTGCTGACCTGTAAAGTGCCATACTCAAGTGGCAGCTCAGAAGCTAACAAGCTGGTTAACTAGAAAGGCTGAGTTGCCTTGAATTGCATCTAAAAGGAAGAGAGAGGCTAAGAACCCCTTTTCCTCATTACATTCCTCTACCATCCTCTTCTCTATTGTCATCTTGCCAAAAGAAGCACACTTAGTCCCTGGGCAGGGGTGCTTTCTGCACTAGGGTTGCTGCCATTCTCCTTTTGACAGATTTTCAGGAATGACACAGTCTCTCCTGGTCCTGGAGTGAGTGCCCACCCACTCCCGCCATGCTCCACAGAGGTGCTGTCATCAGCTGCCCTCTGGCTTTTATCTGCAGCTTTCGGTGTGATGCACACAGGAGCAGCAAAACCTTTAGTCCCAGTACACAGAGCTTTCAAGAGCAGAAGTAGATGAAAAGCCAGCATAGGATGGGACATATAAATCGTGATGCCTCTCCTCTTACAAAGAGGATGCCCGCATGATGAGGTAACTGCAATTTACAGGTGACTGTTGGTATGAACTTGATTTCTACTTATTTTGGGCTTGTGGATCCCTGCAAACACGTTGGTTTGGTTTTGAGACATCAGGGGATGATCATGCTGAAAAGTGTTATCCTTGCACTCGCTGCAGGTCTGTTTTAACACAAAATGTCTCTCCTCTGCGTTCAGCAACAGTTGAGACACATTTGGGAGATTGGTATGTGAAAATGCACATGTTATCTTGTACTCTTTTATAAAGACGGGGTCTAGAAAGAAACTTCTCCGAATGGGAAAAGTTCATCTTAAAGTCATGCAATAAGTGTAACTTGCACAGCAAAGGAATCCATTTGAGGCCATACAGGAAACAAAGGGATCCTCAGAAAGAAACAGTTCATAACCTAATTCATGCTCTCATCTGGTTTCTAGGCTTATATTGACTTTATTCCAGACTCAGAAAAGATTCTGTATTGCCTTAGGTCACATGCTCAGGAACTCTTTTAGTCATTAATCTTTTTAGTTTAGATGGTCACTCACTTCAGAAACTCTCCAAGATGAGATTTTATAGTCACTGGCTCAGAATAATTATTTTGTTTTTTTAATCCATGACAACAGTTTATGGATTTATCTCCAAAAATTTCACCACAGAGAAGCTTTTACATACCCTGATATTTAAAAAAAAAAAAAAAAAGTGGCAGAGACATTAAGCAATCTACCACAGAGGCTCTGGTCAAAATGCCCATAGGTCATACGTGGATGCCTTGGTTTATATAGACCATAAAGCCCAGCCAAGCTAATTAATGAAGGCTGATCCATCTAGATGGCTATGGTAAAAGCTGAATAAACTGTCAGAGCACAAACCCCCAATCCCTTATAACATCAGGAAGTAAAAATATAGTAACAGAGGCTCTGGTTCTTGCTCCACCTGCATCACCTGCAGCTGCGCTGCTTGTTATAGAAAATAACTTTCTAGGACACCCCTTCCAGTCTGGCTGACCCATCCAGACAGATAGCTGCCATCTCCTGTAAAAGTAAACCACCACTGAACGGTAAAACTATCTTCTTGGCCACTACATGAGACCCCAAAATTGTTTCCCAACTAACCACAGTTGTTCAGAGAGCCAATATAACACAAACATCACAGTTTTACAGCCGTTCCTAGGAGTGGGGAGATGAGGCAGCAGACACATAGTTCATTTTGCATAGGTATGAAGTGGTATGTCAGTCTTGGGCTTCTTCCTGCTTCTCTCACACTTCTATAGCAGTATACATATGCTGATTTCTCTTCAGAGAGTAAAATACCACATAAAATTAAACCACATCTGAGTTAAGTATGACGAAATTAAACTGTATTAAACATGGATCTTGCACAAAAACTCGTAACCATAACTTTCAGGGGGAGATGACTTTCACAAGCATATTTTTCTTCTGAACTGTTTCCCTGGCAAAGAGTCCAAACTTTGGGGCCAGCACTTCTAAGACAGGGTGATACTGCCTCTCCACTGAGGCCCAGCTACTTGAGGAGTGCCATCGAACCCATTCCATTTTAACATTCCTAGAAATGTCACAAGGGCAACTTCTGCTGCATTTTCAGATCTTCCTCTGAACAACCATCATTTTTAACAGAGCTTTCAGAGTGGAAAACGTTCTGCCCTTGAATCCCACACACACCACTCAGGATCACTCGCCAGAGAAAAAGAAGGGAAAACCCAAGTAGCAGTCAGGGGATGTTAACATCACCTCAGCTGTGCAGCAGATTTGCCCGCCAGTACCTCATCAGTTCCTCACCTTTCCACAGCACTGTTATGAGATTCAACCCACAAAAACAAGGCAAAAAGTCTGAGTGTTCTTCTGTGGACACTGGGTTCCTTCTGAAAGCCTGCGCTTTGAGAATTATTTCCTGGAAAAGGATTTGGGAATTTATTTTTTTTTAATGACTGCAATATACAAGTGATTCTCCTCCTTTTTTTCTTTACTGTCCACAAGCCTTCTGGGACTGTAAGACTTCACGCGCTTTTAACCGATACCTCAACCACTTTCAGGGATGCATCACATTTCTTCCACAAACCATTAATTGTTTCTTTCTAAACATACACAGTTTTGGGATGAGGTAACTCCCTTGTATAAAGTTTCAAAATATTGAAGCTATTGCATACTACAGCCCCTTTCGTAATCAATAAGAATTATCCAGTTAATTACAAGTCATTCTCTTCATAGAAGGAAAGATAATAAATATGAAGTCTGGGCTTAATCTAATTTAACTTTGATTAACCTGTTAGCCCATGAACAGAGGCAGTCAAATGCCATCAAACCAGCTCATCTTTCAGGGGCCCAATGCCTTGATATCCAAGATGCAAATATACCCTTAATTATCGACTCAAATCAAGACAAAGATTGTATAAAAAAAAACCCAAAAAACAAAACAAAACACCAAAACCAAAACCCAAAATCAACCAAAAACACAGAAAGACAGAAAAAAAAATAAAACAGCAAAAAGTCCCAAACCCCTTTCTGCTGTCTTCCAACCTTTCTCTCACCACAGACTTGGATAGTCAAAGTAGCAATCCCAGAGCCAGTCTTCCTGAGTCTGCACGTTGATTCCTACATGATGGAAAGTTTTGGTCTAGTCATAGTAGCCGCAAGATACATGTTAAAAGCTGAAAAAAAAAAAAATCCATTTTCACAGCTTGCTCTACGCTGACAAGGCCTTGCTCGTTTTCCTGCATGTGTGTAACCACCATATATTTAATTTGCACTGGAGAGATAGAGTTTATACCAACAAAACAACACCTGGGGAAGCTCTGCTTTTGTTCCCCAGAGGAAGCAAGCGGCATGGGTGAAAGGAGGGGTTTTGCTGGTGTAACATCTCTCTTGAACAACAGCTGTGCCAGAAAAGGAAACGGAAAGGAACACAGACAGAAAGGTGATACCCACAAACTAAGATTATTAGGAAATATATATTTGTGGAATAGAATTATTAAGATCAATTTAAGATGTTTTAATCATTTAACAATTGTGCTGCAGAACAAATAGTGATCTTTTGAGGAATAGTTGGAATAATTGTAGGATAAGGAACTCATAAATAATCTTATTGGAGATGGTTTGGCCTTGTAGTGGCAGGTACAGAGAAATGTAAAGATAAAGAAGCTGCAAATTAGCAACAAACCAGACCAGGCCAGACTTGAAGGACGAGATGTATGTGACTACAGGACTGAGTTTGTGCAGAAGTAAGGGTCAGCTGGCGAACACGGTGAAGAAGACTACGAGCCTTCATCTGAAGACCCCCGACGACCACCCGAAGACTCCAACTGACATGCGCAAGAGACATTAACATATGCTAAATGAGTTCCCAGAAAAGTTATGAATATGATAAAAATGCAACGAATATGTATGATTAAGGTAGTATAAATGCTTGTTGATTTCATTCCCACACACAATTAGAAGGAGCTATCCCCTGTGTGTCCCACGCGGTAATAAAGAATGCCTGTTTTCTAAAACTCCAAAACTGAGTCTTAGAGAGAGTGAATTAATTACCGCTTTCCGGTAACAAAGGAACACAATTTTCCACACACTTAATCAAGGTGGTTCAACTAGCCAAACATTTAGCAGGGCACAAGAGAGATGAGCCCAACAGACGGAAAGTCTCACGCTCTAAGCCACCTGTTTAGCAAGCTGGCTGCTGAAGCAACTTCTGCGCAGGGGAGCAGAGGCTGGCCCAGCCTCAGGGTCCCGGCCGGGGGGTGCCCCTCAGGTCCCCTTTTTGCCCGTGGGCTTCGATTTTTCCCAGGAGGCCACCAAGGACCAGGCCAAGGCGAGGGCCGGGACCAGGGACGACCACTGCCCAAAAACCCGCAGCCTCCAAAGGGGTGAACCCCGCTGGGGGGAGCGGGGCGGTGCGGGATAAGTCACCCTTAAAATCCGGCTGAGGAGAACGGAGCCCGCCTCCCGCCGCTGCGCCTCAGCCGCCCCGTCACGACAAGCCCCACCTTCCCCTCCCGCTTCCGCTCCTCTATTGGCCGGGGCGCCCGCCCGTCAGCGGCCGTTGCCATGCGGACGCTCCCGCCGCGGCGACGCCCTGAGGGAGGAGCGGGGCCGCCATGGGGGCGGGGCGGGGGGGGGACCGGGCGACACCGACACCGACACCGGCCTCGGCACCGATGCACGGCGCGGAGGAGGCGGCGGCGGCGGCGGGGGGGCCGCGGGTGAGCGCAGCGAGCACGCAGACCGACAGCATGGCCGGTGAGCGCCGCCCCGTGCCCGCCGTTGCGGGGCGGGGGGGGGTGGGGGGGGTGGTGCGGGTGGAGGGGCAGGGCCTGCCCCGGCTGTGGGGAAGCCGCGACCCCGCCGCGGGTTGAGGGGGTGCGGGGGGGGGGGGGGGGGGGGGAGCTGACCGGCCTTTCGCCGGTCTCTTATCGCCCAGCGGGGGCTTCGAGGTTGTGTAACGAAATGCCCGGAACCGTCCGGTTTGTCCTCCCCTCAGGGCGCTTGTAAGGCTCTTCGCTCCCCGGGGCTGTTGAGAGAAGCTCCTGCCTTCCCCCCTCCTCAACTGCTATTTCATAGAGTGCTCCAGCCCGTTACAGACAATGCAATAAAGTATTTCCACACCCCGCCCCCTCTTTGCCTGTGCTTTTATTCATAAGGCCTTTTGGTAACATATGCTTGCATTTTGCATTCTTTCCCCCCCCGCCATCGAATTGACTTATTTCTCCAGTTCTATACCATGTATATTTAATGTGTATAAAATGTCACGTGCATGAAAACGCTTGCCTTCTGAGAGAGCCGTTCTTACTAACCCCGATAGCGGGGCCCATGTGCGGGTTTAGTAGAGGGCAACTTTCTCACAAGGTTGAGGATGCCCAGATGAAGCAGATTTTGATAAGATTTCATACATCCCATCGCTGCAGTCCCGGGGGGGGTGGTGTGTACATACAGATGGCTGTATATATAGCTTTCAGACCAAGGACCATGACAGGGCTGCCAGGTCTCCTTGATGGGTAAATGGGTTTAGTTTCATCCCAGTCTTATGAAAATCCTGCTTCCACGTGAGCAAAGAAGATGAACTCTGAAAATGGTTTCTAGTTTCCTTTTCCCGGACAGGATAGTGATGTCACTGATTCCCTTCTCCTTGATGTTGTCAAAGCACAGCATTGGTTTCATACTGGTAAGATGACTTCTTCCAAGTCTTTCAGACTCTGAACTAGGGACTCTTACGTTGCAACCGTGACATAATCCTGTATCTGAGCTATGTCTGGATGGGCTGTGCACTGCTCCTTTTTGCTTGCAGGTGCAGGAGCAGCAGGGTTTTCAACACTGGCCTTCACAGCATGCTTTCCTTGGAGCATGCCCTGCCTCACTGGAGCGAGTTCCCTAACCTTCAGGAATAAAATTGTACCTATGTGTGAAGAAGGGAAGATGTGTACATAGGGAAGCTGTGAGGACTTGATGCACCTGAAAAGAGCGCTCCTTTCATACACGGTTTTGATCCCAATAGCAAAGAGCCTGATTCTTCTTCAGTCTTCTGTAGCTGCTTTAAATTCTGTTAAGATGTCTACAACAGGAGCAAACAGGGGCTGTAATGAGAATGAACTCAAATGCCCATTAAGAAAACAAATTCTACTTGTTTAGATGTGGCTTGTAGACTTTCCTTTACAGTTTCTTAGTATGAGTGATAACAAATCTTGATGTGTGCTGCTTGCCACGTACATTTCCAGCACACGTATCTGATTGTGCTAACCAGGTGCCCCTTGCAGTGCTTGTGCACAGTGGGAGAGCTGGGCAGCCTAGGGAGTGGTGGACAGTGTGGTATGGGTGCTGCTGAGAGGTCTGTAGTTGCTTTCCAAAATCACACTTCTGTGTGAAAAAAGCTGCTAAAATACTGTCTGAAAATGATATTCCAGTCGTGGGTTGCGTATATTTATTTGCTGTCCTAATTGTTTGGGTTCACAGATATGTCATTAAACTAATGCTCTCCCCTACCAGAGCAATCTTAGTATCTGATTATATCTCTTCCAAACTGCTGGAACTACTTAAATAAATGTTTTTCTCTATTCTATTCTTGCCTCTGCCTTTTCCTCCTTTGCAAAAACTTTAATGTTTGCAGGGAGGGATAAAAACGGAAATAATACCATTGTCAGACAGCACACAGGAGACAGCACAGAGGAATATGTGTTCATTACAGCTCTCTGTAAGCACTTCTGAAATAGGGACTGGAGCTTTTTCAAAGATTTAACAAACTTCTTGCCAAGTGCGAGGCAAGACAGCTTTACCTCTGGAATGGTGCAAGCGTTAGTGAGCAATGCAGTGCCTCCTCCTTTTTCACTTGCAGGACACTCAGTAATGCTAAGCCTTGGCCCTCACGGGACAATAACCAGATTTTGAGTAGAAGCACAACAGAGCACAAGGTGGTGGTCTGAGAAGGGATTCTTTGCTACCTCTTTGGTTATTTAGTCAGAAGTGACAGCCTGGGCAATAGGTCTGAATTTCTATAAAAATCTAACCAAAATTTAAGCAAACTGTAAAAATCCAGAGGCAGGTTTCTCCGGAACTGATGTAAACTGGCGAGTTGCACAATGGCTCATCCACCCTTGCTGTGGGTGTCAGTGTAAGATCATGATACATGCCTCAATATTTTTGCTCTCTTCTGTGGTGAGCCTGAAGCTGAATCACAAGCTATGTCTCAGATTTCTGTAAGCATCTGTGAATCATTTGAGCACATAATGTGGGATCTGATCTGTGATTTCTGCTCTTCACTTCACTGAATTTCAGTGAGTTTCACCACTTTCTCTTGTTGCACAAATCCGATCTCTGCATCCAGATGTGAGCATCCTGAGTTGACGGCTACTGCCCTGAAGAGGACAGTGTGGGTTTAGCTGCTGTAATAGCAGAAATGGTTGATGAGCCAGTTTCTGTAGCAGCTGTGGTGTAGGAGACTTGGAAAATACTGTTCAACAATGTGAGATTTCATTACAAATATTATTTAATTATTTTTTTTTTTCCCCCTTCAAATGACAGGTCAAATGCCAAGACTTTCTAAGGTCAATCTTTTTACTTTGTTCAGTCTCTGGATGGAGCTCTTTCCCTCAGCTGAGCAACAGAAAAAATCACAGGTAAAATGTCCACGTTTACCGTTAATTGGTCTTTCTGAACAGATGCTGATAGCTCCTGCAGAGAATTTAACCTGACTGCTCTTTACATGACAGACAGTTCAGAGGAAAAAAAAAAAAAAAGGGCTGATAAGCAATTTTCAGATATTTCTTAGGAGTAGAAAAAAGTCCACTGCTGAGAGAAAAATAGCAAAGTGGTTAAATAACATGCTATTTCTGAAACACTTTGGAAGGCAAGGTGTACCCCTCAACAGGTGAAGCAAACAGTAAAAATTGCTAGTGGGAATTTTGAAGAGCATAACAAAGGAGGCATGGTGTATACTGTGCGCTTCTTAGTATTACAGTAGAGGTGCACAGAGCTACTTGAAACATTTGTGGATCAAGAACACGTAGATAACTACCTTAGTGACAATGAAAAGAAACTGCCCTTGAGAATGGGTCTTCTAAATAGTTGCCAGTTACATTTCAAACTAGAGGGGCATTTTCAGAGTGTCCTGGAACAGGCTGTTTCCTTTTGTGATGAGTTCTTATTATGCTCTTTAAAATGATTACTACTTTGTGCAGAGCATACCCATGTGCTAAGATCCATAGCACATGTATCAGCCAGGACAAGAAAAGTCAGGAAAATAATTTGCGTGAAATTAGGTCTAATTTTCAGAGCCTGGTATGACCCAGACTAGATCTGAAAGAGGGATAGATGTGCAACACCATACAGACTATAAAAACAGTTTCAAATTTAGTAGTTTGATTAGGAATAGCACTTTGGTTATACGTAGGGCTTTAGTACAGCCTCATTTCTGTAACCACAAAGAAATGGAATCAGTTACAGATCTAAGGCAATAGTGTTCTGGTAGCATAATGAGATCTGTTTCACCAACTTCATCAAACTTAGCTCTATCCAGTTTCTTCACAATACATGGGAATCCAGATGTAAGAGCTCTTGTCTGTGCTATGCAGACTTTCTCCATGGAAGACTCTTTATAACCAGGATTCATTTCTATAAATGAAGAGACTGAAATAAAGCTAGAGAAGCTATTGAGTCCCAGGATGGTCAAGCTTAAGACAGAAATTAAATTAATGAGTTTTTCCAGGTGCTGGATGATTCAGATGGTTTTCATCTGTAACTGACAGAATTTTCTATGCTGCTTCTGGGTTTTGTTCTGGGCAAAGCAATGACCAGAAAAATCGGGAATTGGCAACAAGTCCCTATGTGAAGTTTGACAGGAACACAGCACTCTGTTATTAACAGGTACATGTAGAAACCACCAAAAAACCCCTACTGCTTAGGGAAAGTGTAACAGAGATTGCTTAATGATTCATATCACAATTTGTACTGTATGCTTTGTTCCTGACTGATACTGTTACTACCCAAGGAAGAGCAGTAACATCTCTATGAACTTGATGTTGAAAAAAAAAAAAGTAAAATAATAATAATAGTAATGCATTTTTCTGTAGGTAAAGAAGAGTGGTCTAGTTGTGGTGAAAAACATGAAGATTATTGGTCTTCACTGTTCCAGTACAGACTTGCATGCAGGCCAGATTGCACTCATTAAACATGGATCAAGACTTAAAAACTGTGATCTTTATTTTTCCAGAAAACCATGTTCAACTTGTTTAAAAATGATTGTAAATGGTAAGCAATGACTGTAGTAGAGTAGGAGGAAATGTTATGCTGGTGATTGGTGGTATCAGAAAGCCTGTTTTCTCTTTGGGCTGCCCCAGTTGTGAATGCCAATCCCTACCTTGTGTAGCCTACACTGATATTTTCCACAAGGCTGAAAACAGGATTGAGTGTGTGTTTCCTGGAGCTGACGATCAAGAAACCAGGGTTTGCTACTGATACCCTAATTTCTCTGTGCAGCTGTTATTATTGGTGGTACCTGTCTCTTGGTTGGGATGAACTTCTGGGATTCTGACGTACCTGTTGCACTTTTCCAGAGCAACCCTAACCTAGGCCTGTATTTTTCCTTGCCTTCCCATTGCTTGTCAGTGGCACCAGAGGAAGGGTGGGTTTTACGCAGAAAGCACAGGGAATACTTTAGGGTTTCCTTTTCCCAAGTGAGATGAAGACAAGTCAGATTATTCACTTCCTGAAATAGGATATCTTGGTACAGCCCTTCTGCGAGTATTGGGTTTTAATCTCAGCAGCAACTTCTATTAGTGCTAACTTTTTTGTGTGGTGTTAAGGTATCTGGTGTAGGTAAGACCCAAAATTAGGCTGCCACAAAGATCTTAGAACTTAGGAAATTCCAATTTTTGTCTATAGGCTGATTACCAAGTCTGATAAGGTCTTGATATTCATACATGCTAGCGCTTTTGTTGTCCAGACACCACTGAAACAGTACTCATGGCCTTAAAGCAGTAAAAACAGGGTTAGGCAATAGTGTGTTAAAAATGAGGTTTATGTTCCACTGTGCTCACGTGATGCCTTTTGCTACATTATCTTCTCTTCCAGCTGGGGTGAACAGGATTTCTTACTGGCCTGCAGATCCGGAAATCAGTTTGCAGAATGAGGCGTCCAATCCCATCACTACTGATGATGCAAAGCTAGATGCCAAAGCAGTAGAAAGACTGAAGTCAAACAGTCGTGCTCGTGTGTGTGTGTTGCTTCAGCCCTTGGTGTGCTATATGGTGCAATTTGTTGAAGAAACTTCCACCAAGTTTGATTTTATTCAAAAAATAGCAAAATCTCAGCCTGGCTCGAATACTGATTTTTATACTGCATGTAGACAAGAGAGAATAAAAGAGTATGAAAGTTTATTCCTAATTGCAAATGAGGAAACGCACAAGCAAATATTGATGACAATGGGACTGGAGAACCTCTGTGAAAATCCATACTTCAGCAACCTTAGGCAAAACATGAAAGATCTTGTCTTGGTCTTGGCGACAGTGGCTGCCAGTGTCCCTGCCTTTGGATGCTTTGGATTTTACAACAGTGAACCACAACGAACTAATGAAACAGACCATCAGGGTTTGCCCCAAGAAATTGCAAGGCACTGTATGATACAAGCCAGACTACTTGCCTACCGGACAGGTGAGTTGTTACAGCAGTGGAGGAAGAATGGGTCTCGTGCGTAGAGCGAGTTCCTGATTTCAGTCTTAACTTCTTCCAAATACTTCCTTGAGCAAGCTGTTGAATTCCGTTCCTACATCTGCGAAACAGGAGCAGCAGCAGTAGTAAAAACTCCACAGGGGTACGTAGTGTTGTGTGCGAAAGCACCGAGCTTTCCAAGAGAAAATCAGGGCAGGTATTTCACATACAGTGCTAGCAAAGCCTGCCTGGACAACATGCCCGACACCCATCTGAAAATAGAATACAATGACATTTAAATTCTTCAAGCTGCTCCGAGGCTCTTTTTTACGGAGGTTTCACAAGAAGTTTCTGTTGTCAAATAAGTGCCAATATTTTAAGTATATTATGTACACGTCAGAAAAGAGCAGTGAAATAATATCCTTCCAGTAGTTATATTAAGTTTCCTAGTTCCAATCTTATTAGTGAAGGTGATTATATATCTGGTGGGGGTTTTCTTTGCAAAGATGCTGGAGTTTTCATGTACAGGTTGTCAGGGTGGAAAGGTAGTTATTGACTATCTTTTGATACTGATGACTTCTGTTAGCTGCTTTATTCTGTCTGGGTAGCAATGCAGTGAACTGGTAAGTTCTTCCAGAGAACCCAATATGAAGACTTGAAACTTGGCGGTACTCCTTAGTGATATTTTTTTTTTTCGCCTGAATAGGATAGTTGCTTTTTTAAAACCCATGTAAATAAATAAATAGTACGTATTTAAAGCTTAAAACAAAACTAATCCCCCAACATGCATGCACAAAACCAACCTATCAAGTCAGGTGCTGAATGTGCCTTTTGACTTGTTCAGACTTGGTCATTTGTAAAGGTGAATCTTCATATTTTAGAACCTTTCCTTTTTTTTTTGGGGGGGGGGGGGTGGTTTGGGGGGTTGTTTGTTTTGTTTGGTTTTTTTTTTTTTTTATGTAACCTCCGCAAATTCAGTTACCAAAAGTTTCAGAAGAGATTGCATTGTTAGAAGTAATTCAGAAGTTTCATGGAACCAGTTGTGAGGTTTTTGTACAACTGATGTTCTACAAAGCAAGACAGAATGACCAAGCTTGCGTACTCATTCTTGGAGCAGCAAAATTCAGTTTTAACTGTGCTGTTCAGCCAGGACTCAGTTCTGTTTTTTGAGCAAACTCTTATTCTACTTTAGTCCTGGAATGAAATGAAAATGAATAACAGCACACAGACACATATTTAGATGCTTTACATTATTATATAGGTGGATATAAGGGAACCAAGATCATAGGATGTTTTCTGTGCTGGCTAAATATACATCAGTGACTAGCAAATATGCAGAATATAAATAAAGTTAGCCCTCATAAAACATATCTTCAGCAGGAAAGACCCTCTTTGAGTGATTGTATATGGTAGTGATGCTTAGGATGATGAAATGGTTAATTGAAACAGCATCTTCTACAATATTAATCCCTGAAACGTTTTTTTCTTCTTGATGTGCTTGGTTTTAACTGGTCAAGACTCCTCAATAGCTACTGGGGAAGATTTCAAAGTTCCATAAAAATCTTCCAAGTCACATAATGAAAGCTCTGTTCCAGTTTTCCTGTGGTGGTGATAGGAAACATACCCTAAAATCCAGTTGTTAAGATTTTGTCTCCGAATGAGGTATAAAATATAACTAATTCTGAGAGGAATTCAGACCACAGAACCGTAAATTTAAGAAATGGCAGAAATTAAGTAGTAAACGAGAAGGGTTTCATCAGTTTGCCATCTCACATCAGTGAACCCGTCCGCATGTATTCTTGGTGCACATTTTCTTACCTGAACAAATGTACATAGCAAAGTCTTAGAATGACTGGCCTTGCAGTTATAGCACTTGCAGCTTTTGCAGTAGACTCATATGACTCCGAAGCTCTTAAATCTTTCTGCATTTCTTTTCTCCTGTCCATGAAGCAACAATGAATGTTATTTGTTACTCTAGGATGTCATATGTTAATGTATAGGTAACTTGGAAGTGCTTTATTTACTATTTACTGCTAAAATGTTGTGTATTTTAGAGGATCATAAAACGGGAGTTGGAGCTATTATTTGGGCAGAAGAAAAATCAGTAAGTATTGAAAAAGTTACTTTTTCTTGCACCCACATTTCATACACCTGTGTCTGCTTTGAGCTTGTTCTTTTGCTTTAAGTTTATACACATGCATTTTTCATAACACACACACAGCTTGCACTTCTCATTCTTTAGTAATTAAGTTAATGACTTGTTCATTGTTACACTGTCAAGATGGAAGTATAAATGAGTTTAGTAGCTGCCACAGTGTCTCTGCCTGGCTTTTCAGTGTGCCTGCTTCCCTGGTCGCTCTCAGTTTCTCCAGGCAGCCTGGCTACAGAGTTTTGCCAGCGTGTGCCTACTCTGTATGGTCCTTCTTGCAGCTCTTCTTTGGAGGGGTGTCAGTGCAGTCACAGTCTGACAACCTCTTGAGGATTTTTGTTGTAGTTGAAACGCTGGACTGGCTTTAGCACATTCCTTTTTGGCTCAAAGTGATATTTTTCTACAAATATTGTTACTGTGCTTTTCCCCATCCAAACGTAAAGTTTTTATTTCTTTATGTCTCTGATTATGCATGTTACCAGTCCCAGGAATGAAGCCTCATTCCTCATGCAGCTACAACATACTCTTCGTTTGTTTTCAGCACTTCAGTCATCAACTGCTTGTTGCTGGTTTGTTTCTTGTTCTGTTTTCAGTCGCTGATTGCTACTTTGTCAGCCCACTGGTCGCAGGGTCTGTTGAGGGACAGGTGAAACACAGTCCCTGGCACATAAGGGACTAACTCCAGCTGTCTTTAATTTTGTACATTGCAAAAAGGCTTAAGGACTAAATCCTTCAGACTTCTTGTTCCTGCTATCAGCATTACTTGCTAAAAGGAAGAAATGGTGCAGTGTGTCCTCTGCGGTGTTGCGGTTTGCCCGTAGTGGCTCTTGCAGAGCTTAATGGAAAAGCTCTGTACAGATACGGAGCAGTTAGCAAGACCAGAGCTCTTTTACCTGCTGAAACTTGGCGGGAACTGATGGTGTGAAGGTATACGTTGCACACCACTTCGACTTAGTTCGCAGTTTAAATGTCTCCAAACTTGGTGCTTTGCTTACTGTTGCAGAGAAGCTGTGATGGGACAGGAGCAATGTATTTTGTAGGCTGCGGTTACAATGCCTTTCCTGTCGGATCTGAATATGCGGATTTTCCACACATGGATGATAAACAAAAGGATCGGGAAATCAGAAAGTTCCGATATATTATACATGCGGAGCAGAATGCCTTGACATTCAGGTAATGAGTTTATTTGTAGCACAGAAAAAAATGAGACAATTCCGAAACAGTTGCGTGACAAATGCATGATGTCACTGTGATGAAGTGTGGTTTGCAATCACAGTCTTGTTGATGCCCATGATGCAGAACTTGGATGTGCATGGACACAAGTCAGCTCTTGAGGTTTCTTCAGACTTTTTGAGTGAACTTGGTTTTTTTAAAGGATATTCAATCCAATGCATGGCAGCTATCCAGATACACACCACTGCCCTTGATTCCTGCTAGGACCGTGCTATAACCTGAAATACAGAAGTGTGGCAATTGTTGAGGCTTCCGACAGTTATATCTGTGGAGAGGTGGGATGGGTGTTTTGTTCACAGATGGTAAAACTAAACCAGATGTTGTCGTGTACTTGTGCACTTGCATAGGAATAAGTTGCTTCTGAGGGTAGGTAATACAACACTTTGCTCTTGTGACGTATCAAGTTTGTCACCATTCAAAACTAGCAAGATTTAAGCACTGAAATTGTTTTCTGACTGCTTGTAGGTGTCGAGAAATAAAGCCAGATGAGAGAAGCATGATATTTGTGACGAAATGTCCATGTGATGAATGTGTCCCTTTAATCAAAGGGGCGGGGATCAAGCAGATCTATGCAGGAGACGTTGATGCTGGAAAAAAGAAAGCGGATATATCCTATATGAAGTTTGGTGAACTTGAAGGTGTAAACAAATTTACAGTAAGTGTCTAAATATACTATATTATAAAAACTCTGGGCAGATACTGAGGGGAGTGGGGAGTCATCTGCAGACAGCATAGAGGAGCGTTTTCTTGTGCTGTTAAGTGAGTGGAACTGAGAGGTCGCTTTGTCACGACACTGGGGAGAAGTGCTGTGTCATATGCCAGATGGTGGGGCCAAGCGCCTCTTGTTTTCTAGAATTTCCTTGCAGATTTCCCTCTAACTCGTCGCTGCTGTTTGAGGTGGTCTCTTCGCATTCTGAAGGTCTCTCCAAGCCTCCTTGTCACAGCACAGCAGCTGGTGTGGGAGACCGCTGTGTGATTTTGTAGGTCCTTTTAGCAGCTCCCAAAAGAGCTGTGGTGGGGTCTGAAGGTGGCCAAGTGCACCTGCACTCGGGGTGCTCACCACAACAGACTGCAGCACTGCTGGTTTGAGCAGGCTTGTTTCCCCTTCTCAAGGGAGTAAGTGGCCACTCATCCCTTAATAGCTTTTTATCCTCAAAGAAAGCCTGTGTTGGAAGGGGAGCCCTTCATTTCCCACCTCACCCCTAGTCATGCCTTACAGTGAAGGACTGTAGGGTACTTTTTCCTGCTCCCTTTGCCCTTCTGTCTTCTGGAATAAGTAAGCTTTTTATTCTTCTTTTACCAGTGGCAACTAAACCCATTGCACACTAATGCCCTTGAATTCCAAGACCCCACTGCCAGGGAAAGTAAGTATCTTGTCATGAATTCATTTTATGACTGAGGTCAGTAAGTGGGATCACGTTTTAAACAAACCTGAATCCATCTGGGATTGATTAGTCTTAATTAAGCTTGATTTTGATTAGTTACATTTTGCTATGAAAACCTCTGAGCTTTTTGAATAGATGAACTAATGGTAAGTCAAAACCAAAACCTTGTTTTAACAAATGCTTGGCATTGGCACACGTTACAAAATCTAGCCGTACTATTATCACAGTTGTCAATATGTTGCTTTGCATGTAGATCATTTCAGACTACTTTATCGTGTTTTAAATTTTGTTCTATAAAGACTTTTTATATTGTGTTCTATAGAGTGTGCCATTCTTTTTCAAGAGAAATGGGACTCCTCCAAGTCATTTAAATACGTTCCGCAGAACATTTCAGTGCTTCCTGTGTGAAGCAGAATCCATGCTAATGATTTTCAATTTCTTTTTCTGTGTATAAATACACATATATAATATAAAGACCATAAAATACTTGTCAACCTCCACCCCTGTAGCAAGGGAGCTGTCATCTTCTGAAAACAGAATTTAGATGGGTCTTATCTTGAAGCCTTTTTGTGCTACAAAAGGGACCCACCATTGGCAGCTGCTGTCAGCTGTCAGTCCTTAAAATGTTTCTCATCCAGAGGGGAAAATAATGTGGAAAAATAAGGCATATCATTTTTGTGCTTCAAGCATGAAGATACGGAGCATAAAGACAGGGAGTTGGCAGTTACTCAAAGCACTGAGCACTGTGCTAGGAGCATAAAAAAGACCGAAGGTGGTTTTTGTAGTGCATGAATAACCATGTACTACAAGCTAATTCCTAACATGTAGTGAGCTAGATTAATGGAGAAGTCTCTTTGTAGCTATTCCCTCTTGAGTTGGGGGGGAAGCAGGGAGGGAAGGGCTCAAAGTAGTGTTTATGACATTAGTAATCACTGCAAAATGTTAGGGTTTGTTTGTCTCTCTCTCTCTCTCTGCTAATGGTTTTTAGACCCAGATGGAGAAAAATTCATCCTGGGGTACTTTGTCTGACAACCTTTAGCAGGGCTCATTTTTCTAACAATATTTTCTTCGAGATGGCATGCTTGCATTTTCAGCACTGAACTGTTTTAAGTTGCTGTTTTTCCTCAATATGTTCCTTTTACTATGACTGTTGCATGTTCCTCTGTATGGGGAAGAAGACAAGCTCCCCCACCCGGTATTATTCCAGTGTGCCTGTATGTGTTGAGTGTTTAGACTATGCTTACTATTGTATTAATGTTTCACACATTATTTTTTTTTTCTTTAGATGGGGTCCAGAAAACAAAATCACTAGATGACCAGCAGCACCAAAACAAGAAACTGTGTCTTGGTCACTATTGAATAATTAAGCACTTCTGCAGCCTTGCTCTGTACTTTTTATAATGCAGCCTGTTTGCACTTTCAGATAAGGAAGAGTTTTATTTATTGTTTGGAAAGTGATTTTTAGAATAAGTTTATTTATGATGTCTTAAATGTTTTACAGAATTACCTGAAGGTCTTTTTAATTTAGATGTTCCTGGGGAAAAAATGCTGCTTGTATTTTCTGTGAAAGTAACTTGGTGGCTAATCATTGTTAACACATTAAAAAAAAAATACTGAAAGTTTAATGCTGGTAATAATAAAATGGTATCTATTTTGCTTGGTGTATGGATTGAGGGAATGGATTCCTACGTTCTGGGCTAGCAGAATGCAGAGATAAGCCCTCCTTCTTCAAGTACAATCGTCAAGGGAATCTTCTTGGAAACTGTAGATCAGTAATCACCAGCAGTTATTCCTGTTCCTGAAAGTGGCTTTTGCTTTTCAGTCTGCTTGTGTAAAGGAGACAAAGCCATTGTGATGGCAGTCGTTGCTAGGTAAGTGATTTGGAGATCAAGCTTGTCTCTCACCCGTAACCTCTTCCAACTACCACAGCAGCAGAGCTGTTTCGTTTTGTGATGCTCGCATTGCTGCTCTGTGTGCTTCCTCGAGTGCAACCCGTCTGAATTAATGTCAACAAAGATCAGCTTTGCTTTTTCTCAGCTTCTGGATGCAGACCTAAAAGAATTTAGCTGTGTGCATCTCAGTGGCCCCTAGATGCTCTGTGAAGGTGGCTTGTGTTTAGGTTTTGTCAAGCTTCACTAACAGGCTTCTAGAACTACAGAAGCTAGTAAAGTGCCAGACGTTCTGTTGTTTCTTAGATGGGATGGTCTGTAGCTGCATCTTTTCAGGTGCTGATCTCTTGGATGACTGCACGTGGAGCAAGGGTGACGTTAAAACAGCCAGTGAAACTGCAGTCAGATGTTGTTGCTGGTTTTGCGGGGATGCTGGGCAGGTAGTGGGTAACCAGAGCAGAGAATTGTACCCAACATCTTTTGAGAGGTCACTGTCCTTACTCCCATCTGCTTGCTGCTTTGACTGTGACCTCTGTTTGTTTTAGCAGATGTTCCAAGACTTTCTGTTCACTCCTCTGCTGAGCTCTCAAGTGCCAACACCTTAAACCTTTTTCTGCTGCTGGTGGTACAATATATAAATGGCCTTTTCCCAGTTCTTCCGTGCATCTCGTCTTTGCTGCCTTCCATAAAGTCCTGGAAGGGGAATTGCACCTTAAAATGCTGCTGTAGGTCCCCTTTGTTTCTTTTAGGCTTTGGAAAAGGTTGGAACGAGCTAGCAAAGCTGTGACTGGATTGCATGCAAAGCACCCTTAACGTGGCATTGGTTATATGGAGCCTGTTCTCACCCGGTTTGGCTGCTGGTCCTGTAACTTAAGGTACAGTTCTTGATGCTTGGAGCTGCAGCAAGGAGCTGTGATTCCCCGTGGCTCGCAGTATAACTTTGGACGTGAGTACCTGGACTTCAGAACTGGGGAATGCTTATATCCCCTTACTGCCATGAGAATTCACTCGCTGAAGCTGGAGAAGCTGCTGTTTCTCTGAGCCTCGTTAGATTGAAGCCTGCTCCAGGGCTGCTGGTGGCGAGCAGTGCATGCGGAGATAGCGGCAGAGATCTCATCCTGACCTCCGGCGCCACTGCTGACTCGCCAGGCAGGGTGCCGACAGCCCCCTTCCCCAGAAGTGAACAAAGGAGAAAAACCTGACGGTTTTCTGTCAACTAAGGGAAGGGTGGTGTAATCCATTTTTATATCACCCCACAAAAAGCGCTTTCTCACAGTAGCTCGTGAGGAAATCGCTGACCTGTCACTTCAGCAGGTTTTGTAACCTAGTGTGGCGGAGCCCGGGTCCTGAATTTGGGACCGGCAGATCCAGGTGCAAGAGCTCTGTGCTCACCTGTCAGATTCACAGTCCAGTGCCTGGAGATTAAGTAATTGGTCTGGGTGCTGTACAGAAAGACAGTTTTCTTCCTCTTATCAATGATTAACTTCATATGGAAGTTGCAAGCAATGAAATTGTATAAAGTCAAATGTTGGTGTTTCATAAGCAAGATTATAATCTGTTTTTAAATCATAAATATTTTACTTTGGCATATTTCTCCCTCCCTTCTTGTAAGCGTATTTTGCTAGAATAATTACTCTTGGCTTCTTCTATAGATCAGAAGAACACTGTCCAGATTAGAGTAAAAAGCCCATCCCACTCCACTCACTGAAACCTTGTTTCCATAAACCATTGGCGATGCTCTTCACCTCGAGGTAGAAGCAGGGAAAAAAATGGGGGCAGGTTTAAGGCCCCTTCAAGTTTTATACTGATCAGTCAGCTGGTATCAACATTGATGAAGAAATCTCTGTCTTCAGGGGAACAGCTGGGATGATTGAACAGTCCCTGCAACATCATAGGTGGCCTGGGTACATGGAGAAGTAAATCAAGATACAAGTCCAATATCACATGCGTTAAATAACTACACTGCAGTGAATGCTGCTGGTAACCCGTACTTCATGAGGAGTTAAGATTCTGCACTTACTTTTTATCATTTTTTAAAAAGAGGATTTTTGTACAAAACTTTTTGTGAAACTTGGAATCGCTTGCAAGGCTGAAGGCTTGGAAGTCTGGCTTTATTTCTGTATTGTCTTTCTACAGCTTCCTCCAGAAGCTCACAAATTTCTGCAGGCTCTGATTATCAGTATAACCCTGCTTCTTTAATTCTTACTGGGATTATGAAGTAGGGACTTTCTCCTGGCCAATAGGAACGATGTGAATGGGCTGTCTCTCAACCCCTGCACTCTGTAGGTGCCGCTGTGCTTGTCATCTGCTTGCCAGGGAGAGCCGCGGAAGATTGGACATGTCCTGCGGTGCTTATTTTGCAAATGAACTCTAGGTTGTTTATTTCCTACCTAAAGACTACAGTGTATTTTAAATGAAGAAATAGAAAAGTTATATATTTTATATATTGTATGAAATGTCCGTATGCGTTTTGGGTCTCTTCCATTCATTTCAGAGCAGTCATTTTAAATTGCGGCTATTAACTATCGGTAATGATTTCACCTCTTGACTGAGAACTGCAGAAATTCCCTGTTCATTGTCTGCCTTACAACAAAACGTGCTTTCTGCTAATAAATTAATCCGACAGGAAGTACTGAAGTGTATTTTTAAGTGCTCGGGGTTATCAGTAACATCACAGAGTGCTCTGAACCGCTCACACCTTTTTACCCGGCCGGTGCTGGCCTTGCTGCCGCAGCCTCCCCCACCCCGGCTCCGCCTGAAGAATTGGCCTCAAGGCGAGGGAGCATTAATTCCCTCTTCCTCGGGAGAGTAAGGACCTCCTCGGGGAGCTGCTGGGCCTGAAGCTCTGCCCGTCGGGCAGTAAAACCGGTCCCTACGGTCCCTTTTCCTCTTTCACTTGGTCTGAAAGGAACCCACCCGCTGCACCTAGCGCTCGTGGCGCGGCGTCACGCGCAGTAAGCGGGGGCAGACGGGCTCTGCCAACTCCAACGTCCTCGCAGCCACGCAGTCAGTGGGACGTAGTCAGCGGGGCTGGCAAGGGCTCAGCCTTCCCAGAGCCACGTTTAATGCGGGGGCTGCTCTGAAAAGCCTTGCGGTCCCCTAAATAGGTATTTTTGTTTCAGCCGTTCTGCCTGGGAACCGGACTTCAGCCAGCCGTTTGGCTTTAATTTGCTAGATCTGGTGACTTGGAGACGAAAAAAGCAAAGGCGGCAGATGGTGCGTGCCGATTTCGAACAGATCTGGGTTACCACATCCTTAATGAAGGTGGCCACGGCGCCACACATGCAGAGCTGAACTCCGTTCTGCGCAGAAAGGGGCCTGCACAGACCTGTTGGCAAACACTCGCTGACCTTCCTTGGGATCCTTCTGTTTTCCCGGCCCCGCCTAGCTTCTGCTCATGTGCCAGTTTTGTACGTCGCGGGTGTATTGTCCCGGTTTCGACTGGAATAAAGTTAATTTTCTTCCTAACAGAAGAGCTAGTACAGTGCTGCGTGCTGTGCTCGGGGAATGGCGGGGCATCGGTCAGCGGGTGATGAGCGATTGTGTTGTGCGTCACTTGTTTTGTGTCGGGTGGTAGCAGTAATATTTTCCCTTCCTCTTCTGCTCTGTTAAATTGTCTTTATCTCATCCCATGAGTTTTCCTTCTGTTTTCCGATTCTCTCCCCCATCCCACTGGAGGTGGGGAGTGAGTGAGTGGCTGCGTGGTGCTTAAGTGCCGGCTGGGGTTAAACCACGACACGCATTTCAGCATTTTCAGAGCTCAGGCTGAATGCGCCGCTCAGCATTTTGCAGTTTTTGCCCCTTCTCTGAAGGGGAGAGGGGCTGCTAGCACAAAACACCTTCCACCGGGACCCGCCTCCTTTTCATAACGTGACGGATAGAAGTAGGGCCGGGAAAGGGGTCGTTTACCTTTGTGATATTTCAGAACAGCCTCTCGGAACTTGGCGCACCGCTGCGCCTCGGTGGCATGCGGTGCTGGTGGCAGTCAGAGACCGAGCCCTGCGGAGCCTTGGGTGCAGGGAGAGCAGAGGCCAAGAGCTGCTGCGCTGATTCTGTGCCCGGTTTAACCTGCCCGAGTCCGAGAAAGCTCCTCGGTTTGGTTCCCCAGCTCTGAACCGGGGGTTATTTTGCCTTCGGGTGGGCTCTCAGCAGGGAAATGGGGTGCTCTGGGGTGAGGAACCACGTGGAGGGGGGGGGAGGGCCGGGCTCCTGCTTCTATCCACGGCTTCTTGGTCCCCAGGAGCCCGTGTCTGTACATCCACCACGGCGGGGATGTGTTTTGCCACACATATTGCGACAGGCACCCGGAGGCTCCTGCTCCCGCAGGCAGGCAAAGGTGTGCTGGTGCTCGTAAATGCCAGAACACTTCAGACAGCTCAAAAACTCATAAATAGGAAAAGAAAAAAAAAAAAAATGGCATGTAGGTAAAGGGCGTTGCTTGCCTGGCAACGGCACCGGCTTAACCGTGTTTGGGCTAGGAACGGGCATGCAGGGGAAAGCGCCAAGCACGGCTTTTTCCCTGGGGTATTTTGCAGCGTGACATTTATCTTCCGCACTCCAAGTAGCATCTGTTTGTACCTGAAATTTTCCACTTTGCTTTTCTGAGGAGCCAGGCTCTGCCTCAGCGCTGGGTGTCTGCCTGAAGCTATAGGACACCCCGACCCGCCCCGCGCCTTCCCACCGCTGCTGAAGGGATGGGGTCTGGTCCAGCTTGAACGTAAATGGTACAGCTGCACCGTGTTCATCACTGGTGCTAAAAAGGTCAACAACAACAACAACAACAACAAAGCCTTTGCAGTTTGACTGGGGGTTTTTTGTTTTTTTTTTTTTTTTTTGCTTCCCTCGCCTTCATTGCTCAACTAGCTTTACTTTGCCTCTGGTGAGGTCACCTCACTGCTTTGCCAGTAAATTTTCTCCCAGGGCAGCTAAATGTCTAACTTGGAGCGGTTGAAGCCTGGGGAAAACATGAAGCAGTTGAACAATGACTTTAGCAAGAGCCAGGCCCTAGAGACATGTCATACAAATGTCAGCGTAGGCACATCCCGTTCCCCTCCCTCCCCCCCCAATATTTCAGAAATATCTGTAAGATGCATGTAAGATTCCCCTGCAGTTAGTCGTTCATTCCCATCATGGGGCAAGACTGCTTTAGCGAGAGGAAAGGAAAGCCCGTAGAAGCAGAGGAGCTGAGCTACATGGCTAGAAGTGGTATTTATTAGCGGGAGAGCCGGGTCTTTCATTGGCCTCTCCTCCCTCTGCAGTGCCTGCCGCCCCCCGGGACACACCGCTGCCTTGGCTGCCAGTAGGCCCGTCCCCTGTGTCGCTTTCCTTTGAGCCTTTGACAGGAATCACGAGCCCTCGCTGTCAGCCCACAGCGAGAACCCTCTCTGTCCCATGAGCTAATTGCGGCTCTGCCCTTGCCACTCCTTGGGGCACAAGGCGAGTCCCTCTGCGAATCTCATTCTCCCCTCACACCCGGCTTTAAAATGGGGAGGAGGTGCCTTTCCCCACTTCCCCCCCCCCCCCAAGAGTTCGTGAGACCTGGTCCCCGCAGGCCCCTGCTTGCCCGAGGCACGCAGAGCCCGTTGGGCATCTGACCACCTGCCTGAGCAAAAGGCCGGGGGTTGGTTTGCTCCCTGCTAGCTGCCAGGGTGCGCCGCCTGCTGAAGGGCGAACCCGGCCTGCGTGTTTGCACAAAGCTCTCAACAGATGCGGCGGGCTCTGCTTTGACAAGGGTATTTTTAAATCTGCTCCAAACCCTTGCCGAGCCAGCTGTTCTCCAAGCGAATCGAAGGGCACTGCCAAAGCCGCCTCTTAGTAGAGGTAACGCACCCGGCAATGTGGAAATCAAGGGCCTCTATTCATGAGTTGAGCAAAGCACTTCACGGTCCCAAAGACACGGTCCTGTCTTCTCCGTGCCCTCAGAAGAAACAGCTCCGTTCATGAGCAGACTGGCAGCTCTCCCCAGGAGAGCTGCGCTGGGGAGTTGGGTGGGTTTTGTTTCTTTAACTACGAGGAGCTGGGTTATGGTGCCGTGGCTGGGCTGGTGCCTGTTGTGCAGCCAAAAGGCTGTTTGTACCTGTCCCCTCGGTGGTCGGGTGCTTGTGTCCAACCACTTGTAAAACCCCAACATGCTGGAGGCGCCTGCTGGCCCGGCGTGGCAATTAAAACACGCAGGTTACACGGTTGGCCATGGGACGATGAGGCTTTGTTCCCAAATCTGCACTTGCAGGAGGGGATCTGAAGCAGACCACCATCCCATAGCCCCGTGAGCATTGCAACTGAGGAGCAAAACAAGCACACCAAGGGACGGAGGAGGTTAGGGTGGCATGGGACACACACCGGGCCATACCTCGTGTGCTGCACCTCAGCAGATATCTGCAGTCTCCCAGATGGCCAGGGCAGTGTGATGCTTTCCTGGGGCTGAGGCTGGGTAGCAAGGCCCTCCCAGTTGTTCCCGGTGCCATATGGTGCTGAAAAACAACCGTGGGGCTCTTGTGGCAATGGTGAAGTACAGCAAGGCAGACCGCTGTCTCACAGGGTCACCCCCCCGTCCCCGTCCCACCAGTCAATACTAAGCCAGACCAGTGTGGGTGTTGGGAGGGGGCGGGGGGGGGGAGCTGCCTTCCCGCTGTGGCACGGGTGGGCATGGCCATGGTTTGGCCAGAGCTGCACCTCGGGCACGGGCTTTCCCCACGCCGCGACACAGATCCGAGGTGGAAAAGGTTATTTTTTCACCGTGGCTTTGCAACAACCAGTGCCACAGGAAAGGGATCGGTTGGTTGATTGTTTTTTTCCTCCGTTCACATTCCTGGAAAGAGGGGCCAGCTTGAGGCAGGCGGTGTGGAGCAGGACCATGAGTCAGGAGGGCTGGGCTCATCGCCCGCCTCTCCCCGGGGCTCTGGGGGAAGCCAGGCCAAGTCACAGCCCTGTGAGACACTTGGCTTTAACAGACTTGGGCTCCTTCCCTTCCCCGGGGCCACAGCAAATCCCACCCGTAGGATTGCCTCTCTTGCTCTGGGGTCAGATCTCCCACCAGAGGCTCTGGAACACCTCACACCCAGCCTTAACAACTTGTGCCGCTCCACTGGCTGCGTGTATATGGACTACACGGGCAGTGGGCCTGAACGAGTGGCTCCACAGCCCTGGATTTCCTCTGAACTGGCTGAGCTCCCTCTTCAGGTCCCGGATGGATGGTGGAACGCGTCAGTTCCTGAGAGTGGGCCTGCATTTACACCAAAAACTGATGTAAACCAGCAGCTCCAGGGCTTGGGCTCCGGCAGTGAAGGCACTCAGGAGCCTGCGTTCCTCAGCGGGTGGCAGCGAGTGCTGGGTGTCTCCTGCTCAGACCCCAGAAGTGCTGCAGCCCAGCAGAATTTCTGCCAGCTGTCTATCTGCTCTGACAGGAAAGCAGCTGGCCACTTTGTGTTCATCAGCATAAGAGCTATGAAACAGGCTTCCATTCCTTGGTAGTAAATGCAACAAATCCTTACGGTCTATGTAATCCCTCAGTTGCTTGGTGCTGTTCAGCTGCAGGCAGTGTGTACAAGTCCAGTGGGTGATGCTCAAGGCAAATGCGGAGTGGGCTTCACACAGGGAAAGCAGCAGGTGCCAAAATGCAAGTCCAAAACC